AAGTCCATTGCTTTTTTCTTGGTGAGGACATTAAAGGGTTAAGTAAGGCAGATAGCCAGCCAGCGTGCTAACTGTAGCCTTTAGCTTCTGATAAGTCGTTTCTGTGGTTTGAATAATCCATTCTCTCCACTGTAGTGATGCTGGTGCTAACTGCATGCCTGAATCATCACTCACTTGCCTCAAACTGTGGTCTAAAGTACATAAAAACAGCTGCAGCCACTTTTAACTCCAAATTTTGCCTGTATTTTTGTCCATTTTCGTGTTGAGATTGAGGCACAGCATAAGACATATAGCTAAGCAGGAAGCTCACCGGCTTCTGTTTTACCATTGCTAGTGTAACAGTTGATAAAATATTGAGTTTCACCAAAATGGCTTCATTTTCGTAAAAAGCGTTCAGAACAATTGTAAAAAAGTTATTTATGTTTTTATAAAGAAGGTTACAATTATTTTTAGTGAGCTTTCCTTTTTTTGCTGTGACATTGCTGTTGACTATGCCCCGTACCTCCATCAGACGAGTGAGAGCTCTGAGATGGACGAATAAACAGAGTGGAAGCCCTTGTGTCCGACTGTTTTGACGACCGAACAGTGGTCGTTGCACTAGCTAGCTAAGGTATGTTTGCGTGTGTGTGTGCTCCACTGTAAGTACACTGGTGCAGTATGGCTGCTGCTTTACATCGGTTTTTCTTTCGTTCTGTATTGTTTGTGTGTATGTTTTGTTGTTTCCCTGCTGGCTGAGAAGTTTGCCATCATATCCATTGATGTAGCGGCTGAGAGTGATTTTCCAGCTGGAGCTGAGAGGCTTCATGGGCTGGCCATTTGGGTGATGCTACAAAGCAGCTATGGTGCAGCCTGGACCAGCCACTCCTCTTGCAACAGAGGCTGCCATGTTGCGCCACTATGTTTCTACAGTAGCCCAGAAGGGACAAACCAAACACTGACTCTAGAGCAGATACGTTCCCCGGCTCAACTTTATATGGCCCGGCAGAAATTTCCTAGATTTTTTTGGCTGTAGGTTTGGGCTTTATGCAGTAGCCGCTGGTGGTCTGCAACTCACAATTAAGCGTATTTCAAATGAACCAATCGACTGTGAGAACCATGACTGAACGTTCATCCAATTAGCTGCATCTTTGTGGCATCAAGTACGCCTGTTCAAGTTTGCAAAGATAGCAAAGCGCAGGAGAGTCAATGACAAGTGTTGTGTCTTTCAACAAAAAAGGACAACAGGTTTCATTTCCGTTGAAGTGGAAGGAAAGCCATCATTTGTGGAGAAGCCCTCGCTGTTCTCGAGAAGAGCAAAACCGTAAGACCTCACACCATCAAACACGCAAATCACTCCACTCTGCAAGGAATACGAGCCGAGAAAATGACAACAATTTGACTGAACAGCAAGCTTCTTTCACACGACCCATAAAGGAGCTGGACAGTGTGACTATGTGGTGAGTGAACTGATGGCAAAGCGACTGCGGCCTTATTCTGAAGGTGTGCATGCTTGTGAAGGAGTGCATGGCTGCTGCTGCCCAAGTGCTATCTCCAGAGACTGTTTCAGAGCGTTAGCGTTTCACACTGGACCGTGTCGGACCATGTCTGACCGTACTGGTGATATAGCACAGGCTATTGAGAAGTCTCTTTAAGATTCTGTCACGGATTTCTAGTTTTACCTGCTGGATTTAGACGACAGATACACCAAATTTGAGCCAGCTGGCAATTTTTGTACGTGGAATTATGGCAGATTTTGAGACAAGAAGATTTACTTTCATTGGTGGGCAGCAACGATACAACCAGAGGTGAAGACATATTTGATAAACTAATATTATACAACAGTTAGTTCCGGCCACACAAGCTGATTGGTTGAGAAGCGTTCTAACTATGCTGTTATTTCACCATAACATCACGGTTTTTTCACAAAAACTGTATCACTCCGCTGAGACGCCGTTGCTAAGCAACGACTCTGACAGCTAGCTGTAGGAGACGCTCAAGACATTTGAACGTTTTTACTTCTTACTTTGCCACAAACAGAAAATGGACACTTTTAAGATCACATTTGCCCGACAGCCGATTTGGTCAGACTCTGAAGATGAGACGACACTAAATTCCCAAACTGTCATCACCACTGAGCAGCTTTTCAGTCGGCAGCTGAGACAGAAGAACAGCTACACAACCTGGAATCAGCCAGAAATGAACCCAACACCATTCGCCAAACTAAATGGGCTGTAAGATGCTTTACAGACTGGCTGGAACAAAACAACATTAATACTGATCTGGCAAAAACTGAGCTGAACTTGATATTGCGTCAGTTTTATGGCTCAGTCCGATTTGGTCAGACTCTAAAGGTGAGACTACACTAAATTCCCAAACTGTCAGTTGGTCTGTTTAAGGAGCTGGAGAACGAACTGCTGGCTGTGCAGCGAGTGGGCGGAGCTCGTTACTCTGACGTAGCAACAAGCTGCTCGTTAAGGAACTATAATTTGGTGAAGGAACTGCGAACATTAAAACATATTAAACGCCGCGTTCACGGCCCAGTTTATTAATTTATTACTTTATTTATTTAACTGTTGTATAAAAGCGATAGAACACTCGAGGAGTGTGTTATCGCCAATAACATCACGTCTGCGATAACACACTCCCTCTCGTGTTCTATCGCTTAAATAAAAATACAGTCCTACGGTTTATCAACAAACTAAGTGGAACGACAACAGACGGTGCACCAGCCATGGTGGGGACAAAGACACATAAAGACACTTTCACTGAAAGCTTGGAAACAGACGATGGGGACGGGGTCTCGTCCTTTAAATAAAGCGTGACATTGTTTAGTTCTCAGCAAAAGCAATCAGATGGCACAGAAACGATCCGACCAGACTGACAGACGGATCGCCAGCGGAGCCGCTTCACTCGGCCGGTCTGAAAATTAATAGATTTGCATAATGAGTCTATAAGTGCGAGAGAGTGGAGTTTATAATGAGAAAGCAGAGGACGGAGGAGGGAACGAGAATGTGCTGATGATAGAGAGAACTAAGGTAGGAAAGAGGCAGAAAAAGTGGAATTCAGATTAAATTTCAATTTAACCCCAATGTAGCCGATCAGCCAAGACACACCCGGTGAGGGAAGTTTGCTTCTTTAGTTTTTGCACTAGTTGCACTCTATTTTCTTGCAGTCATTTCTTGATTTGAGCAGCTTAACAACATTTTGTCGCAAATCACTGCTGTTTTCTCTGGTGTTTCTCATGGTGAGGGATAACTAAACGAATTTGTCATCTCATATTTATACCCCAGTGAAACAGGAAGTTATGACCATTTAATTTCCATTCATATTTCAGGTAGCGATTAGGAACACTTAAAAATATGAATGGAAATATACACATAGACTTGACACAAATACTTATTTCATGATAAGATGCAGATTTTTTCTTTCATCACTGTACTTCAAATAAAGGTTAGATTTTTGTTAATATTTTGACTGAAATATCCAAAGGATACAGAATAAAGAATGTTTTTTACAGCCTGTTTTTACTCATGGTTTCTAGGGGTGCCAATATTTGTAGAGGGTAAATCATGTTGTATTAGCAGCAGTTTGTAAAGATGTCATGGAGCTTCACATGTAACGGAGAAAGCATGGTAACACTTTATTTGGAGTGGTTCTTTGTAAATGATTAATAAACTCTTAACAGATTATCAGTAACACATCAACAACATATCAGGCCCTAATCCTAACCCTAACCTTAACCGCAACCCAAAACCTAATCATAACCCTCACCCTGGCCCTAATCCTAACCCTAACCCAAAACCTAATCCTAACCCTCACCCTGGCCCTAATCCTAACCTTAACCCAAAACCTAATCCTAACCCTCACCCTGGCCCTAATCCTAACCCTAACTTTAACCTCAACCCAAAACCTAATCCTAACCCTCACCCTGGCGCTAATCCTAACCCTACCTTTAACCTCAACCCAAAACCTAATCCTAACCCTCACCCTGGCGCTAATCCTAACCCTACCTTTAACCTCAACCCAAAACCTAATCCTAACCCTCACACTGGCCCTAATCCTAACCCTAACTTTAACCTCAACCCAAAACCTAATCCTAACACTCACCCTGGCCCTAATCCTAACCCTACCTTTAACCTCAACCCAAAACCTAATCCTAACCCTCACACTGGCCCTAATCCTAACCTCAACCCAAAACCTAATCCTAACCCTCACCCTGGCCCTAATCCTAACCTTAACCCAAAACCTAATCCTAACCCTCACCCTGGCGCTAATCCTAACCCTACCTTTAACCTCAACCCAAAACCTAATCCTAACCCTCACCCTGGCGCTAATCCTAACCCTACCTTTAACCTCAACCCAAAACCTAATCCTAACCCTCACCCTGGCGCTAATCCTAACCCTACCTTTAACCTCAACCCAAAACCTAATCCTAACCCTCACCCTGGCCCTAATCCTAACCTCAACCCAAAACCTAATCCTAACCCTCACCCTGGCCCTAATCCTAACCTCAACCCAAAACCTAATCCTAACCCTCACCCTGGCCCTAATCCTAACCCTACCTTTAACCTCAACCCAAAACCTAATCCTAACCCTCACCCTGGCCCTAATCCTAACCTCAACCCAAAACCTAATCCTAACCCTCACCCTGGCGCTAATCCTAACTTTAACCTCAACCCAAAACCTAATCCTAACCCTCACCCTGGCCCTAATCCTAACCTTAACCCAAAACCTAATCCTAACCCTCACCCTGGCCCTAATCCTAACCTTAACCCAAAACCTAATCCTAATCCTCACTCTGGCCCTAATCCTAACCCTCATATGTTTTTGACATGTTACTGAGAGTCCCACTCAAAGCGCCACACGCCAGCCACTCTTCCATCTCGGTAGCATCGTGTAATAGGAGCAGGACTGTAAATGAGATTTTCTGTCAAACCATCACTTTAATGGAGAATGAATGCACGTACACAGTTGACCATACAGCAGTGGAACCCAGTGACCTGTCCACTCACCTTCTCGGCTTTCTTCTCCTCCAGTTTGGGCAGAGCGGTGGCCCCCTGCGGCTGGGCGTGTGCGTGAGGGTGGGCGTGTGCGGGGGACACGGGGATGGCCGCACCCTCGCCCCCGTTCAGCAGGGCGGCGGTGACGTTGGGGGGCGTGATGGCGGCGGCGGCAGAGTTGAGGGGGATGAGGGGGCGGGGCGTTGACGAGATGATGGAGGGCATGCCGGAGTGAGACTGGGGTGGAACCACCATGGAGAGAGGCCGGCCGGGGGACGGGCCAGGGGAGCGAGACGGGGAACCCTGCGGCCTCAGCGGGGAAACAGACACAGTGGGGCGCTCAGGACTGCCACCTGCTGGAGGACTGTGGACTACAGAGACAGAGAGACACAGAATTATACTTAAGATTCTGATTCTTTTTGTATTATTTTTTTGGGCTGTTGAAGTTAATACATTAATAATGCAACATAATTTATTGTCACAAATGTTTTAACGCTGTTCGACCCTTGGACCCATATGTAGTAGTGCAGGCTGAAGCCCAGCTGTATGTTGCTCTGATAGCTTGTAACAATAGAAGAACCCTTTTTGGTGCTGTACAGAACCCTTTACAAAAAGGTTCTATATAGAAACATCTACAGAATATTTTCTATCAATTTGAAGAACCCATTCATGATGCAGAGAGCCCTTCAATCATAGACAGGTTTCTTAGAGTGTTCATGGTTTTACATAGAGAAAAGATATTTTATTATAATTCAAATTTAAAGTCAATTCAAATGGAATTCATTACATTGCTATGTAAATAAATACGTTACTGTGTGATTATGTTTAAATTATGTCATCAATGCTGTACATACTTCGATTTGCATGTTTCTAAGTCAAGAAGCTGGTGAGAAGCAGATGTTAAACCAACTTCTAAGACTGAACTTTGGAGGTGTGTCTGCAGATTCTTTGAGGAACTGAAAGTGAGGCTCCTGAAAAGAATGGAAGCTGGAATGAAGGTGAAGAGAGACTCACTAAAGAATGAAACAGCTGATATTAAGTTGTGTAATTTTCTGTTAAGTACATGTTTTCCGCTTTTTTCCTGACGCTGAAATAACTTGACTTAATGGCTTTACTGGAAATTGGATAAATGAAGGGCCGTTTCTGGATCATTTTGAACCATTCTGAGTTTTTAATGCGCTGAAAAAGTAATCTATAGATGAATTAGTTAATAATTAATGATAGTTTTCAGCTGCTCTACTTCCAAGGGTTATCTTCAGCAGCTGATGAGCAATCTCTGCTGAGGCTGTCGTCCCTCACTCTATACACTGACCTCCTCATCAAAAAGCCGGTCATACATCCGGCAGACGTTTGGCGGTAAACATCTTTGAATAATGCTTCTCGCTGGTGGAATCGACTGAGGCGGCATCTGCAATTTTGTCGAAATGAAAATGCGGAATGAGAACTGCGGAGATGAAGGTGCAGGAGTTTACATTTATTTCAGGAGGCGGACGACGCCCATTCGTTTGCATTTAGCTCTGTCTGACTGACTAACGGATGCCTCGTGGTGAAACTCCGCCGGCGTTGAGTGATATAAGGTCTGTCTGGAGTTCTGAGGGATCTTCTCTGGCAGGTTAGAAGGATGTTGGAGGAAACAGGCCCACACTGCGTGGTCAAAAGGAGTTTTCAAAGAAGGCTTTCTTCCTCCAGGCTATTTCAGCTAGAGTGTGACTGTGTGGGTGTAGTAACAGCTCCCAGCCACTAGGGCTGCAGTGTTCCACATAATATTTTTCCAGCAGACACAACCTCAACCTCAAAGGCAGGCACGCCAATCTGGTGACCTTCCAGGCCAAAGTGCTGTGGAGATCAGCGTTTATCCTCATCTGTCACTCTGAATTCAGTTAACAAAGGTCTGGCTAATTAGCTGATGAGCTGAATCAGGTGTGTTTAATGAGGCAACGTGCTGAAGTCTGCAGTGTTTTGGCCCACGAGGACTGAAGTCTGACACGGTGCTCTAAGGGCTCTTTATCTTTAATACATGTTGCCTACAATCTATTAATTTTATCCAGCATTGCTTTTTTAAATGTTTATGGTGCTCTGACATGAATATTCACCCGAGATGATCATTAGGGCTGCAGTCAAGTCAAATACAAGTCCAAGAATATCACTAGTCAAGATTGAGTCGAGTCTAAAGTGAGTCCATATGAGAGTGAGACCCAAGAATGAGTCCAAATTTCTCGGTCTTGGTCAAATTGTTTGGTGAAATCATTTAAAATTGCGCTAAATCCCAAGATTCTCACAGTTATTACTTTCATTTTGCTATACTCTTTAACCCTCTGGGGTCCTCGACTCACCCGGGTGTCAAATTCTCTGTCTCTATATCTGTGTCTGTGTCTTTGTGATGATCCAGCTCAGAAATCCACTTCAAACACTTTCTGAATCTGTAGAGTCGCCCTTTCCATTCCATCTTATCACGAGATCATACGAGACTCACATCCGGAGTTATGAGCCTATGAAGAGGGGCTGAGATACACGTCATCTGCCTCTCACCGTGTGGAACTGGTGGATTCGTGTGCCCGTCTACATTCTGTGTGAAACTGACCAATGGACACTCAGGAAATCACTAAGGACTGACCATCACGCCGGAAACCCTTCATTCTTCAGTCAGTCCACATCGGAGATGCATGTGAAATGGCGTGCAGAGAGTTGCAGTGGTTTCTCGTTATAGAGAGAGCTGAGATTGTTCTGAACATTCTGACATGGAACTCAGGGCCATCATGTTGAATCATTCCAAAAGATGAATTGAAGAAGACAGGCAAAAATCAGACCCCAGAGGGTTCACTGAACGTATATAATTACATAATGCTAAATTATATATCAGCACTCTGAGTTTTTGCCATTCAGTTCCCATTCTGAATGAATCCAACTGATGCTAATGCTAACTGGCTAAATCAAACAGACGATTTTGGTTTTCGGTTTCTTGAGTGCGTGCGTGAGTCGGTGTGTGTCGGTGACAGTTAAAAGAGAGAAATTACAAAAACGTGCAATTCTTATGTATATTTTATAACATTTTATGACTTATGTTTAATTTTTAAATTAAAAACTTTACTCATAAACTGCTGTCCCACATTTTTATGTCACTACCAAAACACAAAGAGCTTTAGCCACGCCCCTGCATTTTAGAGCAGGAAGTGAGGCTGCATCCCTGTCCCTCATGGCCACATGGTGAGCAGTTAGCAGTTCTGAAGTAAATGTGTCCCAAAGTCTGAAAATCAGTGTGAAACATTAAGAACTCTCACTACCGAAACATCTTCAATTAAGTAAACGTTTTGTGTTGTAGTGAAAAATATGATTGCTGGTCATGTACTGGCTGCGTTTTTGAGCTCAAAATGAATAAATGCTAAACCTGTCACTACTAAAAAAGTTGCTGCTGAAACATTCGTGAAAGTTTCAGTAGTGTTGTGATTGTTTTGGTAGTGACAAAATAGAATGTTCACTCATCTATTTTAATAAAATAAACATAATTAAGATTTAGAGCAGGGGACCCAAATCATAAGAAGAGCCATTTTGGCCTTTCAACAAAAATCAAACCACCTTGGGAGCCACAATATTTTATGTCCATTTTACCATCTCAGATGTAAATATGTCTCTGTATGTGCTGATGTACTAGTATAGGCTAAAAATATAAACAAAAACTCAGACTTACTTTGCTCTGCTTAAAGCTTTAGCTCAGCTATAGCTGCTTTTCTTACATCTCCAGCAGGAAACTTTTCCTCAGTAGTTGAACAGTTTTTTGTAAAATGTCTCTAAATGTTCGACTTTTTATGAGGCTGAAGTCGCTTCTCATTCACCAACTTCTTGTTTGAATTTTCCCGTTCCACCTTAAATGGTGCCTGAAGCACCAAAATGTAACTGCTGCACCATTTAAGGTGGAACGGGATAATTCAAACAAGAAGCTGGCGAATGAGAAGCGACTTCAGCTTTGTGACTTTTCAGTGTTTGTCAGTTTCTCGTTGCAGATTAAACGTATCAGGAAACCAGCTGGAGTGATTATAAACACAAATCAGTCCATTCGTCTCCAAATTATCGATGTTCATCTTAAATCTCTCTCTTTGCCGTTTCGTTGGCTACTAACTAGGCGAGACTGTTGTCTGTGTTACTATGGTGACCAGCAGTCTGCGCTGATCTTCAGGGTTAAAGGGTGAATCAGCAGTTCTACATTAACTCCAGAGTTTAAGACCATTTATTGTTAAACTGTGTTGAACGATCAGCAGAGCTTTATTTTACTGTAAAGGAGGATTATTTTATTTTTACCTACAAATCTGATTCTGCTGTAAAGCTGCATGCGGCTTCGGAGCCACACGTTGCCAACCCCTGGTATAAAGTCTCTCAAAGCATTTTAGTCTGAAGTCCAATTCAGTTAAGAAAGTCAGACATGTCTTTTCAACTCTGACAGTTTAGTGTTTTTGTATTTTGTTTTATTATTATTAGGTCTTGTGCAGGTAAATTGCCATGGTTTTGATATTGAACTCCTTCCTGTTTAATCCTCGGCTAAAAGTGCATGCGTGAACAGGCCTTTAGCACCTGTTTTGTAGCTAAAATGCTAAAATGTCAGCCTCAAGGCTATCAAGTTAGTTTGCCACGGCAAACTATCGGCCTCCACAACTGTTTTTATACAAAGGATTAACTGATGTTTGTTCATTTTTATAAAAATGTAATTCAAGCACAAACACGCCCATGCGTACGTTCTTGCATGCTACCTCACTAAGGGGTCCCTCAAGAGGCGTTTACCTGGCAGTCACACAAGGCTAAACACCAGACTCTCAGCTTTTCCGAACGAGCTTCTCGTAGTCCCGCGAAGTTGAGGAACCCAGCAATTACTGCCAACGCAGCGCGGCAGGGCCTTCATTACAGCGGACAGCTTATCGGAGCTTTAAAAAGCGTTAACAAGCTCCTGCGCTCCTTAACACTGCCTCCTCATTCACACAAACACACGGTCCATCTGCCCTGAAGAGAGTGTCACGCCGCAGGCCTCACTGACAGCAGATTAGCCAATGTGTGAGTGTGAACAAGAACCCTTGACCTTGGCGAACGCCGAACTTAACGCGCGCAGTCCGCTATGCGACAATTAGCACTGGCGCTGCATGGCTGAGAAAAAGGTAGAGCAACGCTGGGGTCCTTTATTTTAGACTGACTGCAGATGTTTAGACTACAACATCACTGAGGACAGAAAGATTCACAGGCTGTTCCATGGCTCTGCAGGGGTCGAGCGGCCTGGCTGTAAACTATAAACTCGTGTTTATATGCAGCACCATCAGTCTCGGCTCTTCGTGACCTTGGCTAGTGACGGCTGTCAGAACTCAGTTCAGTTGAGAAGCTCGTCGTGATTCGGTCTCAGAGTGGCTTAGCCCTCATACTCAGGCTAATACATCGGCAAAGAGTCCACTTACACCAAGTCCCTCAAAATTTCTTGGGAACAGCCCCATGTTTTCCAGCCCTGTGTTCCCTCTTTGTGATTTTGGAATCATCCCTAAATTCCCAGGGTCCTACATTCTCTCATTGAAATTTCATGGGGAAACAGCTCTGTGTTCTCACGATGCCTCCATCATATTAGCATTAATGTAACAGTAACATCCACCCCTCTGGTTAATTTACAAACATGCTATTCTGATGTTATAAAACCCAGTTCAGCTCATATGAAAAAAACTTTATTCCAGATGAATTTATCACACATATTTTTACAATGTATGAAAATGGCCACAATGTATTTGTTAAATGTATTTTTTTAATGTATTTGTATTTGTTATATTTTTTCTATTGTATATAGTTTTATCAAAGGTTACAGATATAACTAAATATACATGAACTGATTGAATGATACTGACTTCTGTGATCTGCATTGCACCTTACATTAACCATGTGCACCAATCAGGCATAACATTATGACCATGTCTACGCTTATTGTCCATTTTATCAGCTCCACTTACTATATAGGTGCACTTTGTAGTTCTACAGTTACAGACTGTAGTCCATCTGTTTCTCTGATACTTTGTTTTGGAGTTTTTAAACACTGTGTCCACTCACTGTCCACTCTATTAGACACTCCTACCTTGTCGGTCCACCTCGTAGATGTAAAGTCAGAGACGATAGCTCATCTGCTGCTGCACAGTCTGTGTTGGTCATCCTCTAGTCCTTCATCAGTGGTCACAGGACGCTGCCCACAGGACGCTGTTGGCTGGATATTTTTGGTTGGTGGACTATTCTCAGTCCAGCAGCGACACTGAGGTGTTTGAAAACTCCAGCAGCACTGCTGTGTCTGATCCACTCAGACCAGCGCAACACACACTAACACACCACCACCACGTCAGTGTTACTGCAGTACTGAGAATGATCCACCACCCAAATAGTACCTGCTCTGTGAGGGTCCATGGGGGTCCTGACCACTGAAGAACAGGGTAAAAGGGGGCTAACAAAGTATCAGAGAAACAGATGGACTACAGTCTGTAACTGTAGAACTACAAAGTGCACCTATATAGTAAGTGGAGCTGATAAAATGGACAATGAGTGTAGAAATGGAGGAAGCTCTGATTAAGAGGGAGTAATATGAAGGTGGTATAATAAACTATATTATGATTTAAAGTGTATAATGTTTTTTGTTGTTAGTGATTGAGTGAGCCGCAACCGCTAACACATATAATTTGAGTCGAGTCTTGCTGTGTGACCACTGTTATGAGTGCTTAACCCTTAGAAATAGAAATAAAAGATTATTGTTTTGCTGTTCTATTAAAATGTAATTATGCAATTATGTGATTAGTTAAGTAGAACTGCAGTTTCGTTTAATTTACATTCTGTAAGGACAGATTCAGAGTCTGTACGTCTGACCTTTTCTGTTTGTGTTGATGTCAAAAAATGACAAACACAGCAAAAATTTGAAAGGATGTTTTTTCTTTCTGACTTTACACACAATATGTTTTCATCCAATTCAAAAATAATTAAATATACATTTCTACGACTTTGTATTCAAAAGATTTGTATCTGTAGCTGTTTTCATCGTGATTTACAAGTCAAGTCAATAATACTTTTTAAATAAGTTTGTTCCCTTGTCATAGCTAACTTAAAGGGGAATCCCACCAATCTTATAAAATTTCCATATAATTAATTGGTTTTGAAGTAAACAGAGAGGTTCAGAGCGGTTTGGTGTGAAACGTCAGAACTGTTCACAGTGGTGCTGATAGGAACCAGACGTCCACCTCTAAAAGCTCCCTCACAGAAAGTTACTACATTACACGGTTATGAATTCACTGCCTGATGACTGAGACACTGATTTTATGATGGTTCCGAGAAGATTTTTGGCCTTAAAGTCCATTCATGGTGGAGGGATACATAATATGCAAGGTGTTGTGAGGCAAAATAGTCCCTGAAGAAAAGTATTTTTTTCAGGTTTAACACTATGTAAAACTCAGGAGACTCGTGTAGGTTCACTGGTGGTTCTGGATAGTAAATAAAATGTCTATATTTGTGTTGTAGTCATGGTGACCCCTGGTTCCTATCACCACCACTGTAAAGACATCTGAACCATTTCACACCAAACCACTCTGAATGACTTTCTACACTGAACTGTGTAGAAAGTTTAAAAATCAGTGGACTTCCCCTTTAAGCTATAAAGAGGCAGCCCAACAACTCGAACTCTACACCTAAAACCACATCACAGCCTGAACCTGCCGCTCTGACGATGCTGTTTGAAGGAGTTGTTACTCACCCAGCTGTGCTGGTGGCCGGACCTGGCTGGCCGGCTGCTGGCCGCACATGCGCAGGCAGTTCTTCAGGTGCGGAGAGGACGAGGATGAGGACGATGAAGGGTTGGCCAGCGGCGTGGCGGAGCGGGAGGCGGAGCTGAGCAGGACGGGGCTGGAGGGTCCCGGAGAGCTGGGAGAGCCGGGAACGGCCTTAACCGCCGGAGACACTCCAGGCAAACAGGCACGCGACTGCCCCACCGCAAACGGAGCCCTGCGGACACAGAGAGCGGCTCACATGCGGTTCTGTTAAAATTATAAGTGTTCTATTAAAGAACCCACACAGTGGACAACTGAACTTCCCTCACCTTTTTGAAATAAGTGTTTTATGATGTATGTAAACACTGCTGGTTTAAAAATGTACCATTCATATATGGAAACTAAGCTGTAAAAACAGGCCATCCTGAATTCCTGTCTTTGTGATGTCACAAAAAACAACATATTTTTATTAGAACTTCATTCTTGTTCATTTAATCAGAACTTCATTCTGGACTTTATTTTTATTAGAACTTCGTTCTGGATATTAATTTTATTAGAATGTCATTTTTGTTGTTAATTTTATTAGAACTTTTTTCTTGATATTATTTTTATTAGAACTTCATTCTTGTTGTTAATTTTATTAGAACTTCATTCTGGATGTTAATTTTATTAGAACTTCATTCTGGATGTTAATTTTATTAGAACTTCATTCTGGATGTTAATTTTATTAGAATGTCATTCTGGATATTACTTTTATTAGAACTTCATTCTGGATGTTAATTTTATTAGAACTTCATTCTGGATGTTAATTTTATTAGAACTTCATTCTGGACTCTCTAAAATAAGGATTAATTGTGTTATGCAGTTGCAAGCAAATAGTTCTTATTGTACTGAAAGCATTGACTCCAAAGTTTTGATGCGTCATCATCATCACAGTCTTACGCATTAATAAATGAACATTTAGACCAAGTTTCACTGTCAGCGACAACAGCTGAGAGGAAGCCAACTCATCCATTATAGAGACACAGTGTTACTGACAGAGCCTTTATAATCGTTACAGACTTTACAGACTGTATTGATTACTTGTCAAGGCAGGAGAATTATGGGTACATGTGTAAAACATGCGCGTGACTCCTTCAGGACCCAAACAGAGTATTTAAAAGTTCAATTACACAGCAGGTCTTTAATAATTCAGCTACAGTGGCCCTTACAGTCGCCCCTCTTACCCCAAATCTGGTCAATCAGGTAAGACATGTTTGATGTCTGAAGTTTGCTTCTTTGATTTTAGCACTGGAGCTACGAGGCGAGCACTAGTATTGGTAACCACACCAATTGACCGCCTGTAAAATAATGCCCCCTCTTAGCCAATCAAAATGTCTAAATGTTTCTCCGACAAGCCAATGGAAAACTTCAACAGAACTCCTGAAAACAAACCTGCAATGAGAACGGCGGTGTCTGTAGGTGTGGTTTTTCACCAAGCTATTTATTTATTAAAAATAATACTGAGGTAATAAACTACATCTGTGACCACATGTGCACTGGTGAGCTTCTGCTGGTGTGGGTTTCCTCTTAATTATATAGAAAATCACTAGTTGGGTGCTGATTGCGCCCCTGAAATATTGCATATGATCTGTATATGGATGATTCTACTGAACTGGTTTAAAGTTATAGTTAAAAACATATTTCAGACTTTTAACTGATCTTGGACTTTAGACCAAAATCCCTTTGCTTTGAGTGACCCTGTACTATGATTATGTTAATTTTATTAAAATAAATGATTGAACATTCCATTTTGTCTCTACCAGAACAATCATAACTCTACCCAAACTTTCAGTTACCAAATGTTTCAGTAGTGACTGTTTCAGTGGTGACAATTTTAGCTCATTTTGAACTCAGCCAGTACATGACCAGCAAACACAGCTTTGAACAGCTGTTCACACATAAAATAATCATATTTTTCATTAAAACACTAAAAAGGTTACTTACAGAAAATATGTGTTTCGGTAGTGACATTTCTAAATATTACCTACTGATTTTCAGAGTTTGGGACACATTTACTTCAAAACAATGTGATCTAACTGCTCACCATGTGGCCATGAGGGACAGGGATACAGTCCTACTCTAAAATGCAGGGGTGTGGCTAAAATAAGTCTCCGCCTACATACAAAAACTTTTTGCATTTCGGTAGTGACATGAAAACATGGCACAGCATTTTTAAATTTTTTTTTATTAAAATCATCATAAATCTAAAACTTTCAACATCACTTTATAAAAAAATCATGATTTTGTATATATTTAGCTTATTACCATCTTAATGAATGCCTTGGGTTTAAATATATCAAAACATAATCATTGTAAATATTTAATAATTAATTTTGTTTTTAAAATAGTTTTTACTGCGGGACCACAGTTTGAACTAATTTGGTGTTCGGTCCACACAGTTTTTATTACGTTCCATGTTTTAGAAATATTATTGTTCTGATTTTACAATACTTTAATTTGTGCTAGAACACTTAGAACGTTTCTAGTACCAGTGCTACCTGCCCAAAAAGTTTCCGTACAGCCCTGGTACTGCATGCACAACACTATACTCGTCAAAATATATCATGATTACTCAATGCATGACGATCACAACTGTGTGGCAACGGCTAGAATGGTACAGAAAACATATTAGCTACTGCCATCTATAGGTGGTAAGTAGGTATTTCATCTACACTGACTGGACTTAAGCTATGAGTATTAATACACAGACACATGAATACATAAACGATGATGCAAAATCTTAAAAAATACAGTGATTAAACTGCAGAGTAGAACAGGCACAGCTCCGATTCCAAAGGCTAATGGTTTCCATTTGTTTTCTGTAGCTTATGAGGTGCACTCAATATGGCAACCTAAAAAAAGATTCAATTAATCCTGCCTGTAGTTCTGAGGGCTCGTTTGCCAGATTGGACTGAGTTCCGCTCTCACACCTGCGAGACTACAATTCCCACAAGCCACCAGGCTGCAGCTTAATGCTATTCCTCACAGTAAACCTGCTCCACCTGGCTTCACATACTCACACACACACACACACACAAACAGGGGGTATAGCTGCTCTTCCCAGAATCATTATCATACTGAGAGCGTTTTTCTCTTCCACTCCGGCTTCATGGCAAAGAAAGCCTTCCACCATCTGCACATTTCCAGAAGGTTCTCTGAACCGATCTCCAGTGATTGCCGTTTTGAGAACACGCTGTGCCTTTGGTTCACATGCTGAAAGCTGTGCTCTTAGAAAATCCTGTCAGATGGGGAACACTGCTGTAAATTTTTGGATATGAGGTATTTCTGAGACGCCAGGTGGTTGTGTACCTTTCCAAGAGAAAGTGTGATGACTACATCAGATCTGGCCGGGGTGTAAATTATGTAAAAATAAGCACTTACTGTACCAGGACACTCAGAGCCAGATGTTCTAAGCCTTTAGGGCCAAGTTTCAGCACAAATAGGGCACATTTGACCCAAAAAAGCAGGTGTATTATTTATGAAACATAATATTGTCAGATGTTTCTCTTCCTCATGAATATGTATAGTACAGTATGTGCAAAAGTCAGAGAACACAGTTTCATTTATAAACCCATTTCCCAAAAAGTTGGGACGCTGTGCAAAATGTAAATAAAAACAAAATGCAATGATCCTGTGTTATTTCCTTGAATAAAATGTGAATTTTCTGACTATGCTGGCATCGCCCTAGTGAGCTGACTGATGGATCACATTTGGGAACTGTTTGACGGTATGAAAAATGAAGATACCTCAAACATGCATGATCAATCCTGAAGAAACGTTTTACCGCACATGCTTGCTCACCTGGACACAGGGGTGACGTAGTTCCCAGGAAAAACTCCAGAGGCGCCGCTGCGCAGGGACGTTCCTTTAAACCAGCCGTCCTGGCACTTCTCCATCACACGGTACATCTCACCCTTCCTCAGCTCCAGCTCGTCTGCCTTCTGAGGCTTATAGGCGTAAAGCGCCAGGTAACTGAATAAACAAGAGAACGTCACTTCATTAGAAACCCCCACATGTAGGTCCGCTCACTGGCCACTTTATTAGAAACACCTACCTTACACTTCCACTCACCGGCCACTTTATTAGAAACTCTCACTTGTACTTTTACCAACTGCCCGCTTTATTAGAAACACCTACCTTACACTTCCACTCACTGGCCGCTTTATTAGAAACTCTCACTTGTACTTTTACTAACTGGCCACTTTATTAGAAACACCTACCTTACACTTCCACTCACCGGCCACTTTATTAGAAACACCTACCTGGTAGTTCTACTGACTGGCCACTTTATTAGAAACCCCTATGTTGTACGTCCACTCACTCTGTGGTCAGAAACTGGCCACTTATGAATGACTAGAGAATGGCTAACACAAACTGTGCATCAACAGATGGGCTACAGTCTCTCGCTGCATACCAGCAAAGTTGAGCTACAAGGGAGGGGTTTCTGATAAAGTGGCCACAGTGTACACAAAGTGGACTCAAACTGAAAAGAGGTACAAGGCAATAAAGAAGGGTTGGAAAAAGAGCCTTTAGATGAGTTGACAGGTTAAAAAGTGGGGTTGCTATGGCAACGGAAGGACATGGCTTCTGTGGGGACAACACAGGTGGTCACAGGGTCAGAGAAGGCAGACCTGTCCACTCGCATCAGTGGTCAGACTGACCTCTAAAGAGGATGTGTGGGCAAGCGAGAGCCTGTCTGTGTGTGTAGTCCAGTTAGTAACAGAGGCTCCACCAAGCTCTGAAGAAAAACTAGACACCTCGTCCATCCGTGACATTAGAAAGAGTAAACAAACTGTAGAACATTTTTATTCTGCAAATTCCAGCAGACAATTTGGACATAAATAAAAAAAGCATGGACTGATGTTCTGTGTCTATGACCGCTGGACCACCTCTGTCCTTTTGCTTCGCTTTCACGCAACATATATATTTTATACTTAAATTAATTTTATGTACACACACATTTTTTTCTCATTATAAAAATAGTTTTTAGCTTTTACATGTTTTCATATCCAAAATTGTTACAAATGGATATCTTGCATTTTGAATATATATGTATATGTATGTATGTATCAATTAATCAATCAACCTTTATTTAAACTCAGAGTACATTGAGGGAGACCTTCATTTACAATGTAGCCAAGCCAATACAGAGATCAGCGATTTATAAGTTGAATAGTAAAATATATATCAAATGCTAAAAAGTTATAATAATCATAGTAGTAGAAAGAAATTAAATCAATAAACCATTAAATTACAATAATAAAGTAGCTTAATAAAAAACCTTAAATAAGGATAAATAAAACATATAATAAAATAAATAAAGAAATAAAAGATGTAAAACAATAGCTGGGCAATATTAAAATAAATAAAAATAAAATAATCAAAATGAAACAGCAGCGATATATATATATATCCCCTTGTTATATATATATATATATATCGCTGCTGTTATAATCATTATGAATAATTCCTATTTTAATCTCCTCAGGCTAGTGTACTGTTGTTGTGTGTGTGATATCAGTGTGACCAATTCTGAGGGACTCACATATTCAGAGGCAGCTGGACCTTCGCGGCAGCCAGCAGCTCTTCGGTTGCCGTGGCGACCCGCGGACTGACTGCTGCTCCCGCACTGGACGTCCCAGCAAACGAGGAGTCCTGCAGGAGACAGAGGGACGGAGTGCAGCATGTTTAAGATCACTTCTTTAACACATTGTTCATAATGTTTTCATTATTTTACATCAGATACACCAACAGACCAGCGATTAACAGGGAGACGGTGCGCTGTGGCCAGCAGTTACCGAAACATAAAAACTCTCTCAACACACGATCAAGTACTGATTAGTTAATTTACTTGTTATCAGATGAAGTAATTTTGTTAGGTTGCTCTGATGAGCCATTTTTACAGTGTATTTTCAAGTGAAATTTTATTTTTTTCGCTGCATTTCACTGAAAGTGATGAAGGTCTGATGATCTTCGTTAGAACAATTTAAGTCAGATGTTAAAAATCAAGTTGAGATGAAAAGCTTTTCATCTGTCACAGAAAATGGATTAAACTGAGAGCAGCAGCTGACACACAGCTCAAACTCACTGCTGTAAAGGTGCTGACATCACAACAAGGGGATAAAATGTGTGGCCTTTGACTTTATTCCCAAGGTAGGGCTTGTATCAGCCGCTCTTTCAGCTTTTGCAAAGAAAAATGGCAAAAATCACCTGAACAGCTTTCTTTTTAATATGGTCATTTATTGCAAACTGACGATAAAAACATGCCCATTTGTATTAAAAACTTTTAGAAAAGCTCATTTTTTGGGGATTTTTCCCAAATTTAGTCATATCCAATTTCACCAGGTTGTTAGGACTCCCCCTAATCACACGATACCACCAGCGCTAGGAGGGCGAAGGCAAACACAGGCTTCCTCTGAATTCCGTGAAGCACCGCTGCATCTTTTTCAAACCGCCCCTAACACAACGTCACTGGACAGCCAAACACACTCGGAGGAAAGCTAACATCAGGTAACAGACGCCTGCACTGACTAGTATCGCTTTGAGTGATGGGGGGGGCAGGGGGCCATCCTACCCACCCAGAGAGAGCGAGGACAACTGTGCTCTCTTGGACTCTCGGCCGCAGACAGCTGTAACATCACCAGGGACCGAACTCGCGATCTCCTGATGGGAGTGTCAACGCTTAGACAGTTGCACCAATCGGGAGTAAAAAGCAAAATTTTTCATGCGCAGGTGATTCTTTAATTTTGTTCATGTTATTCAGGGGCAAAATTAATGAATTTAATCAGAATCACAGCAATATTTAATTATGCTATCATACTCGCCAGCATTGGGCTGTGATGGAGCTCCATCCAATACCTTTGGGATGAGCTGAAGTGATCCAGAACTGACCATCTAATATCAGTACCTGACCTCACTAATGCTCAATCAAATCCTCACAGCAATGTTCCAACATCTAGTGTAAAGCCTTCCCAGAAGAGTAGAGGCTGTTACTGCAGCAAAGTGGGGACAAACTCCCTATTAAAACCCTTGATTTCTCACTCATGCGTGCAGTGGTACCTGTGATGTGGGGGCGCTGGAGGACAGGTGTGGACAGTCCCCGATGCGTGCGGCGGCTCTGGGGTCGGACGAGCTGATGAGGACGGGGGCGCTGATCTCCATGGAGTGCCGGTTGTTGCCTAGTGCCTGAGCTGTGCGCTGCGTCATGCTTAGTGCTGTGAATGAGTGACGTTTCTTGGCGTTCTTCTTCCCGTCCAGTCGGCGCTGGATAGCGGCGCTCACCTGCCCGTTACCGTTACAGCTGGAGCTGGACGGCGGAGAGCCAGGGTCAGCGCTGGGCCCAGGAACGGCCACCGGTTTATCCATCTCCATCAGCTGCTTTGCCGTTTCATTTAGCTGAGGAACAGAGAGAGATTTTGAGATCTATATAAAAGAAATGTAGTCAAACTGCTACAAAACGGACCCTCGAAACAGAGGCTGACGTGATAGTTTAACAAAGATTCACATCAGCCAAGATAAGTTTGATGTCTGAAGTTTGCTTCTTTAGCTTTGCACTGGGGCTGAGAGGCCAATGTAGCTAACAGTATCAACTCTTATCTGCCAAGTTAGAATAACTACAGGATCACTCGATTCTAATCTCAGGATAACTGTAGGATATGTTTGGGTTAATGCTGAGATAACTGTAGGATAACTGTGTGACAATCTAAGATAACCCCAAAATAACTGCAGGACAATTCTGTGATACAGGCAAGATAATTCTGGAATGACTAAGAGATTACTCCAGGATACCTGCAAAATAATTATGGGATAACTGTGAGACGATTATGGGATAACTCCAGGACAACACAAGATAACTCCTTGATAACTAAGAGATAGCTTCAGAGTGACTATGGTATAATTCCACGATACCTCTGGGATAACAGCAGGATAACTCTTGAGTAAGGGTGGGATAATTGCAGGATACCTCACAGATAACTCTAAGATAACTGGAGGATAACTTTGAGATAACCGGGGCTAAGTCTGGAATAACTCAGGACAGCTGTGGGATAAGTCTAGGATAACTGTCGGACAACTGCAGGATAACTGTGTGATAACTGTGGGATAACTGCAGGATAGCTATGGGCTAACTCTGAGATAACTGTGGGATAAGCATGGGATAACTGGCATGGCTGTAAGATAGGTTTGGGATAACTCCAGGATAACTGTGGTATAAGTATAAGACAACTCTGACAGTTGTAGGATAACTCTGAGATAACTCCAGGATAACTGTGGGATAAACATGGGATAACTGGCATAGCTGTATGATAACTTTGGGGTAACTCCAGGATAAGTATGGGATAATTCTTACACTGCTGTAGGATAACTCTGGGATGACTCTAAGATAACTGTGGGATAATTCTGTGATGCAAGCAAGATAATTCTGGAATGACTAAGAGATTATTCCAGGATACCTGCAAAATAATTCTGGGATAACTGAGAGACAATTATGGGATAACAGCAGGATAACTCCATGATAACTCTTGAGTAAGTGTGGGATAATTGCAGGACACCTCTCAGATAACTCCAAGATAACTGGAGGATAACTTGGGATAAACATGGGATAACTGGCATAGCTGTATGATAACTCTGGGGTAACTCCAGGATAAGTATGGGATAATTCTTACATTGCTGTAGGATAACTTTGGGATGACTCTAAGATAACTGTGGGATAAGTATGGGATAACTGACACAGTTGTAGGATAACTCTGGGATAACTCCAGGATAACTGTGGGATAAGTATGGGATAACTGACACAGTTGTATGATAACTCTGGGATAACTCCAGGATAACTGTGGGATAAGTATGGGATAACTGACACAGTTGTAGGATAACTCTGGGATAACTCCAGGATAACTGTGGGATAAGTATGGGATAACTGACACAGTTGTATGATAACTCTGGGATAACTCCAGGATAACTGTGGGATAAGTATGGGATAACTGACACAGTTGTAGGATAACTCTGGGATAACTCCAGGATAACTGTGGGATAAGTATGGGATAACTGACACAGTTGTAGGATAACTCTGGGATAACTCCAGGATAACTGTGGGATAAGTATGGGATAACTGACATATCTGGGATAACTCCAGGATAACTGGGGAAGAGTTTTGATATAACTTTGGAAAAAATGCACTTATGGATAACTCATGGATAACTTTAGGGTAACGTCCGTGATAACTGTGGGATTACCAGGATCTGGCTTTGAATCAGTCTGGGTCTTCTGATGTTCAGCATGAGGGGATTTTCTGCACACTAAACAGTCTTGAGCCCAACAGTGTGCAGCAGTAGATTACAGTACAGGCTTTAAGCAGCACAGCATATATGACCACACTCAGGTCCATTCACATCACGAAACAACACGGAGAGAGAGCAACAGAAGAGGATGAAAAACAGAGGACCAAAAGACAGAAGGGAGAGATAGTGAAGAACATTGATGGACAAATACTTTAATGCCTGGACTAATGGTCGTCCAAGTCCACGCCGAATAATGACTTCCCTGTCAGTTCTGATTATACTGTCTTCCATCATTGGGAAGTCAGTTAAATAAGAGGTTTACGAGTGAAAGGCTGGTGACTGTAATACTTAAAATCTGTCAGTTTAATAGAGAAATCTTTGAGAAATCACGTTATTAAAAGAGAAGCGTAGATTAAATTGCAGAAAAAGCCACTTTTCATGCAGACAGTATAGGATTCCTTTGGTGACGGCATCTGAACTGCTTTACTGTTCCTCTCACTTTGGAGCGTTTTATTTTAGATCAGAAGGATCCAAAAAGAGAAGAACAGAGCAAAACTAAGTTCAGTTCCTGTGCTAATATATGCAGGATGTTACTCAGTTGCCAGTACTTAAGTGGCTTTCTGAGCTGCTACTTTTGTTCTTCTGCTCAAGCTGTTTTTCGGAAAAGTGCTTTTACTGCAGTCAGTTTTTTGTGGAGATGGGTTTAGGATACTGTGGCCTGCATCCAGGATGCACAGACAAAGCCGTCTGTATGCATGAGTCATTCTTGGCTGTTTGAATGCCAAGGCCTTTCCGTCTGTCGCCCGCACTTTAAGCTTTGCCTTCTGACGGAACACAGGTCCCTCGCACGCTAATAAAACTCAATCAGAACCAAATGGCCATCTCCATAAAAATGAAGCCCCTCTGCACGGCGAGGTCTACAAAAGACAACACATCAAAAACCCCACTCTGCCTCTTTCTCAGCTTTTATTTCCATATTTCCATATTAATGGCTATGCTAATAGCACCTTAATCATATGCAAATTAGTCTGATTGATTGACCCCACGAGGCAGCTAGTACTAGTCTCCAAGGAAACGGAGACAGCCGGCTGTCCTCGAGGTCACAACGTTGCTCCACATCGGGAAAAAACGGTGATTTGATTGAAGGTTTCGCATCAGGTTAATATGAATAAAATATATCACGTTAACAGTCCTTCGTTTACTTTAGACAGTAAATGTGTTACGTTAATGTATTTTCTTCATGAAATGATTAAGTATTCAAATTAAGTACATTTCAGTGTAACATGCTCTTGTCACTTGCAGGAAAAGTGCTCAAATTACTGTTAAAACTCATTTTACATTAAGTCCAGCAGTTAGAGGACTCTTCGATACAGGGCAGCCGTCTCATTGTCTCAATGTCGCGTCCACCTCAGTATCTGTCGGTGCCAGCTGGCGACCCCACATGACAGTCAGCTACAAACGTTCACATACTTTTATCACTCACAGATACATAATATTGGATCATTTTCCTTAATAAATAAATGAATTAGATAACTCTGAAATAACTGTAGGATAACTGGAGGATGACTCTGAGATAACCATGGGATAAGTCTGGAATAACTCAGTGATAGCTCTGGGATAAGTCCAGGATAACTTTGAGATAATGGTGGGATAACTGAGATAACTGGAATAACTGAGATAACTGTGGGATAAGTATGGGATAACTCTGAGATAACTGTAGGATAGGTATGGGATAACTGAGATAACTGTGGGATAAGTGTGGAATAACTCAGGGATAGCCATTGGATACATCCAGGATAACAGTGGGATAACTGCAGGATAACTATGTGATAACTTTGAGATAACTGTGGCATAAGTATGGGATAACTGCAGGATAACTGTGGGATAAGAATGGGATAAGTATGGGATAACTCTGAGATAACTGGGATAAGAATGGGATAAGTATGGGATAAGTCAGATAACGGTGGACAAGTATGTGATAACAGATAATTGGGATAAGTATGGAATAACTGAGATAACGGTGGGATAAGTGCGCAATAACTAAGATAACTGGGATAAATATGGGATAACTCTGAGATAACGGTGAGATAAGTATGGGATAACTGTGGGATAAGTATACGATAACTTTGTCATAGCTGTAAGATAACTCTGGGATAACTCCAGAATAACTGGGGCATAAGTTTGAAATAACCTTGGGAAAAATGCAAGATAACTTCGTTAAAACTCATTTCACATAAAGTCCATGTGAACGTATCAATGTGAACTTATCAATAAATAATTGACCAAGTCTAATATTTCTGTCTCATTCGTTTAATTTGGTTCTCTTTATCTACTTTTAGGACTTGTGTGAAAATCTGATGAGGTTTTAGTTCAAATTTATGCAGAAATATAAAAATTCTAAAGGGTTCACAAACTTTCAAGCACCACTGTATCCTCAGTAAAGCAGTCACCAGAGAAATGTTCTCCTACCGACTCTGAGTGAATGGTTATACTGTGAAAATGTGCCATCAGGGCAGATTAGCTATAAGTTATAGCTGGATGATGATGATGAGCGTAACTGGTCATTGTTCAGACAGGCTACTTTGCTAAGCAAACAGCAAATGCTGGTCAAAAGCATTAGCCGTGTTCAATGTGCTTAAAAAGCAGCTGACTTTACTTCCACATTAGGGAAACTCAGTTAGGGGCACCTAAATACATTTCTACATCAATATAGTAGAGTGTGTTTGTTTTGATATAGGTTGTGCCGAGGATTACACGATTTTAACCAATGACACAGTATTCAGCCGTAAAAATGAAGGAACTTGTAAACAACTGGTACAAAATCAGTTTCAGTGTAACAGAACAGAACCGGCCTCGCAAAACGACAAAAAAAGACAGAAGGTGATCATAATAAAATACAGAAAAGAAAAACATACCAAACAATATCAGGCAACCAGATCCAAAAAGGGCAAAGACACAAAGTCCAACAACACGGCCAAGAAACACAGAAGGCAAAATACAGACAGGACCCAGGACTCAGTAGCTCTACAGAAAGAAGCAATACCTCACAATTAGACTGGGCTAAAGTCCAGGTACTAAACTGTCTCTGGGTCAGTTCCCCTCTTGTCACTGGGGTGGTCC